CTCCCCCCCCCCCCCACGTGGGAGTCTGTACTTATTCTTAAATAAATTTCCACCTTTACCACTTTCTGTCTATGGATTCAGTCTTCAATTCCAGCAGACAAAGAATCCAGGTTCCAGTCCAAAAATTCCCATTTCATAGGGACCTTGCCAAATTAAGGTGTTTCTCTTGAAGCTTTCTAATCTCAACACCTTCTATCTTGCTCAGCACAGTATGTAGTGAGAACTGCTTTTTTTTTTAACATCACTGACTCCCCTGTGCCTCATTAAGTCATCAAAATAATCATCAATAAAGTGGGCACTGTTAACATTTTTTTCAAGTGAAGAAACCAGAAGAAGGGAATTTAGTGACCTGCCCCAAAGTCTGTGTTTTCTCTCTAAATATCAACTATAGCCTGTCCTTTCTGTTCCTGTTGCTCTACTTGGATTCAGGCCTTCACAATTGCTTGCCTGGGCTACTTCTAGAATGGCCCCTTAACTCCTCTCCTAGCCGTGTACAAAGCCAAGAATTAATCTTCCTAATGCAAAGCTGATCATGTCTCTTGAATCCTTCTCAAGTCTCTCAAATGTCAAATCCTTCTGTGGCCTCATTCCCCAGAGGTTCTGGCAGTGGGTGCTACTCATTAAAGTCTTCCCCTTTGGATCAGTGCACAAACCGGAAATGAACAGCCTGCTGAAGTTTCACAAACACGTCACACCAGCAACGAGCTAAAAAGACAACATAACCAGCATCCTAGACGTGTGTCCTTCCCGCCACTTACTACTCCCTCCCACACAAGGGTTTTCCACCATCCTGACGAAGAAGAGCACGTAGTCAGTCTAGAGTACCATTCCTTTTTGTACATTATATAAATGGAAAATTACAGTGCATACTGTTTTGTGTCTGGTCTCTTTAAGTCACTGTTTAGGTTCATCCATATGTTGACTATAGTTAGAGTTTGTTCACGAGAATGCAGGGTCTAGAGTACCATTCCTTTTTGTACATTATAAAAATGGGAAAATTACAGTGCATACTGTTTTGTGTCTGGTTTCTTTAAGTCACTGTTTAGGTTCATCCATGTTGACTATAGTTAGAGTTTGTTCACGAGAATGCAGATTTGGGGAGAGAACTGAGAGTTAAGGTTTGGCCATGCTCTATGGCCAAATGAGATGCCTATGAAACGTCCAGGTGGAGATGACCAATAAGTACAAATACAAGAGTGTAAAGTTGCGTGGAGAAACCAGGGTTGGCGACACAGATTTGGGAATCACTGACACATCAATGCTATTTAAAGACACAGGTGCTGCATTAGAACGCTGGTGGGGGTTGCTATGCAGATAACGAGGAGGAGGGGGCCTAGAACCAGCCCTGAACACTCTCACATTTAGAGATGGGGCTGAAGAGGAGCTGGCCAAGGAGTACCTAGTGGAGCAGGAGAAAAACCAAGAGATTCTGTGTATTAGTCAGGGTTCTCCAGAGAAATGGAACCATTATTATAAGGAATTGGCTCACATGATTACAGAGGCTGTAGAGCCCCAAGATTTGCAGGGTGAATCAGCAAACTGAAGACCCAGGAGGGCTGATGGTGTCAGTCCAGGCTGAGTCCAAAGGCCTCAAACCAGGAGAGCTGATGGTATAGTTTTCACCTGAGGACCAGCAGGCTCAAGATCCAGG